TTTCTAATACCCCCCCCCCCCCCTCTTTTTTCCTTTGAAATGATCCGTGCATCGCGGGTAAGTATACTAGTTTTGCTATAAAACCTAAAAAATATCTATAGAAAATAATATTTTAAAAGGATATTTATTTATAATAAATAAAGTATAAAGCTTTGCTATAGGAGGTGAAATTTCCTATTTTATTTGTAATGGTATGATTTACTTCAAGTTAACAAATATTAACAATGTGTTACAATACCCTACCTTGGTTCTTTTTGTAAGAAAAACTTTATCCACATATATGAAGGTTTAATTTTTAATTCAAAGTCTTAAATATTAGGTAAAGTTCTACTACCAAAAAGTTGAGAAATTGGAATAAAAATAAAAATTTGGAAGGAGAACTGCATTGCTATTGTCACCATTCAAGAAATTAATGAAGTTTTTTCTATTAATTGAAAAAGTCAGATAATTAACACAAGACACTAATGTAGTTTTCTCAAATTATAGCTAAAGCACCTAGGTGAAAAATATAAATATAATAAAAAATATTACTTAGAGTCGGGCATAGGCTATGCGATAGACGTTCTGTATGATATAAGAGAAAATGTGAATTGTTCAAAGTTAATCGAAATATTGGAGGGAAATGATTTTCACCCTATCTTTTACGTAAAGTTGGACGGGAAATGGTTACTCTATTCTTTAACCAAATCACTTATTTTTTTTCTTTTGTTTACTTTTTGTGTGTGTGTGTTTAGGTAGTAAAATTTCTCATGTTTTATAAAATTTTCAATATATTCAGTCAAAATTTATATATTTTTACTAATTTTGTTGTCAATATTTTTAATTACTTTAGGCTTCCGATAGAAAATGTTCAATCGACCACCCTTGAGCCTATGTAGCTCTGCCATTACTTGTGGTCAACACCTTGCGCAACTCTAAAGAAAGTGTTTACTTAGATTTCTTTTATCTAACTTGGTCGAGTTTTGCAACTCTTTTTCTCAATGCATTCTATAAAGTTTTCTTTTTCATTTTCAAACTAATAAACTCCATTAAGACTCTTATGTGATGACTCTTCCAGATGAGAGTTACATTTCTTGCGGATAAACTCTTCTAGTACTTCAAAAGTCATCGACTCCACGTCCACCAACATCAGTTGCCTTTACCACTATCAGCATTTGATGTTCTCTCAATAGCTTCAATAGTTGTCTGCTACTACAACATGTTGTGTACTAACTAGCTGAATTTCCACCGGGAGGCGGAGCACATGTATTCGTGCTATCATCATATGTACTCTGGGCATAAATAGAGCCATTAATATTGCTTGCTGTCTTTTCTCCAGCATCCAAAAAGGGAGGGGTAGAATTACCAATATTACTCTCTAACTTATCACCAATGCCTGCATTCGGAAGCAGATATAGGTAACTACTACCCACTGAATTTGACCCCGTGTTGTCATTTACACCAATATTCAAACTTGGAGAAGCTATAGATTCAATAGTGCAAACTGGTTTAGATTCCAAAGTAACATTTGTTGGAGGGATCGAGGTAGAGCTGTTGCCAACTGCTTTAATCCTGCTGCTCTCTGCAGTGGAAGAAGTGGTTCTATTGCCTACCCCTACTATTTTAGCCTTTCTGAAACAATTCAAAAACAGGATCCAGAAAAAGTTGAGATTCACTGCCAACAAGAAAAGAAAAGAACAAACTAGAGAGATAAATAGAGGAAGGAGAAAAGGAAAGGGTGGGTGCTCATACCGAACTATTTTCTGCCTGAGAGTGGTGGCTTTTGACTTCATGACACCTGTTTAAGGAAAATTGTTACGCTTAAATTGATATGTGCTACGGCTTCAATACAAGAAACAATAAAGCTACTTGCTCTTTCCTCTGTATTGAGAGTGTGTGTGTGTGTGTGTGTGAGAGAGAGAGAGAGAGAGATGATTTCACCAGATTTAAGTGTAAGACACCTGGACCCAGGTTTACGCCTGCCTCTCTCAGCCTTAATTGAGGCAATTATAGAATCAACCAATGGACCCAAACCTTTTCTACCAACCAGTTTCACCCCAAGCTTCTCAGAAAGGAAATTCAGCCTCATCTGATCACCACCTCTGACCTCTCTAAGCTCAAGGGCTTGTTGCTTGGATAACAAGGCATAAACGTGAAGCTCATGCTGGTTATTGAAGTGGGACTGAAGCTGCTGAAAGAGTAACTTGTTAGAAAGATGTCGATTAGGCCTTATCCCATCATGACTCCTCGTTTGGGTTCCACTGAAAGTCACCCTCAAAATTGCCGGTGACTCGAGATCAGAACTCTTTCTAGCGAAAATTATAGAAAAGCTACCAAATTCCAAGTCTGGCTCCCTAAATAAATCCGCCAGAACAGAAGCATAAGAATAAGCATTCCTTGATGGCTTTTTCTCAACCTTCAAACTCATGGTTCTAAGCTTAGCATGGTGGGCCATATTCGCAGCTTCTCTAAGCCCACTAAGAAAAGCTCCGTGCATAGTGGCTGGATAGCGCCTATTAGTGGCCTCGCCAGCAAAGAAAAGTCTGCCATCGCCCACACTTTCTGCTAAAATATCATAGTCATCTCCTGATGCCCCTACTGCAACATTAGAGTAAGAACCCAAGCTGAAAGGATCACTTCCCCATCTTGTACAGACAGTTTGGATCGGCTCCGGCACTTCAATACCTTGCGGTTCATATATACCTGATAGCAATTTTCAAAGTTATCATTAATACATCAGAAACGAGAACCTTAACAGCAAGCTCCATGTATCAAGAATGCCTTTTGAAAAGTAACATTATCTCCAACAAGCTTTACTATGTCTATCTCTTCCTAACCAAAACAACCAAGAGAAAATAACATTATCTCCTAAAATTTTCTTATTCTTTCTGCCCTGAAATTATTGTTCTTTTCTTCTTGTTACTATGCCGCATTATATCCTTATAACAGAATGAGAAATTTAATTTCAAGATTATGGAAAAAAATTGCAACAAAAAATGCATTTTACCTTTTAGAATTTGAAGAACTTTTGTCACTGCGTTGGTCGGAGGCATGGTCTCAAACTTGTGTGCAGCTTCTCCAGCAACTAGAGCTAACAATAAGGGACCACCAGCAACAGTTGCATAGCTATAGAACAGAAAGAATTCACCCCTGCTACTAGAATTATCAGTAAGATGCCCAAAGGTATCGAGATCAGTGCCCCAGAACACATATGGGAAAAGCATTGCAACCTTATTTAACAATCCAAATCCCAATCTTTTTATTCCATCAAGCTTC